ACAGAAACACTAGCTGACTGATAAAGGCTTTAATAATGTGAGTATTGATTACTGATGCTGGCTGATGGGGATACAGGATTAATGGTGTTAGATTAATGACTCCAGATTAAGACAGGAAGCTGTTAGCAGTATGAGCTGCAGTCAGATAATTTAATGTGTTTGATCGTCTGCAGGGCTGAAGGAGACGACGGAGCAGCTGGTGAAGAAGAAGCTGGAGGGGAAGGACAAGCTGACGCCCTGGGAGGAGTTCTTGGAGAAGAAGAAAGGCAGAAAGAAGGAGAAGAAATCTCAAAGAAAACAGGTGAGTAACAACTCGTAACAGCAGGTGTATTTCTGGACTGTTGATTCCAGAAGGAAATAGAGAGAAAGTTCAGTTCCTCTGTAGTTTTATTAATCAGTTTAATATTTGATCTTGATTCAGGGAGACGGCGAGGAAGAGCTCAGCGAGGACGAGCTTCCTCCTGACGTCGATCTCAGCGACCCCTTCTTCGCCGAGGAGCTCGCTGCTACAGGTGATCAATACTCTGAATGAACACAGCAGACGGGTCGGAGGACACGCTGGTGTCTTTTTAATTAATACAAATAATTAAACTTTTAGGCAGACGTGGAGAAAAGAACATGAATGTGAAAGCAGATTCTTTATCGCTGTCTGATTGTGTCTGCAGACGGGAAGAAGAAACAGAAGGGGAAGAAAAAGAAGAAGGAAGAGGAGCGGACAGCTGAGGAGGAAGAGGAGCTGAAGAAACAAAAGGTCAGAGTTGAATCCCAGCAGCGCCAAGAAATCACCAAACCTGTGGACCAGAGCTCAACGTGTGTGTGTGTGTGTGTGTCTGTGTGTGTGCGCAGGCGGAGATGGCTCTGCTGATGGAGGACGAAGACGACGACGGCAAACACAAACACTTCAACTACGACAGGATCGTGGAGCAGCAGAACCTGAGCAAGAAGAAGAAGAAGAAGCTGCTGAAGAAGGGCGAGGAGTCGCTGGAGGGCGACGACTTCCAGGTCGGACATCTGGACCAGAACTCTAAAACCCAACCGCATACACCCACTGTGTGTCGTTATGTATTAAACCCTCTCCTGCCTGTCTATCTATCTGTCTGTCTATCTGTCTGTCTATCTGATTAATTCTACACATTTGCTATTAGATACATCGATTACTGACTACCACGGAATCTAGGTGTTGTTTATGGGTGCAACAATAAACAATAAATACTGTTTTCACGGTGTAATTATTATCCACTGTAGCTTTTCAATCCTGTTCAATTGTTATGTCAATAAAATGTTACAAAGTAGTGAAAATGAATTATTATTTAAAATGTCATATTCAATGTAGATAAAGAAGAGAATCCTCATTTGAGAAGCAGGAAGCAGAAGATGTTTCAAAAAAGATTAAATAGTCGATTATTAAAATATCTGCCAATTAATTTTTTTGCTTTTGATCAATTAATAGTATAACAAATGTATTTAACTGTAGTATTGAGTACAAAGCAAATGTTGTTTCACTGCTGTGTCCATTGATTATTGCACATAGTTATTGACAGAATTATTATTATTTTTTATTATTATTCAGGGTGATATTATTCAGTCATATTCTGATGCAAATTATTAAGATTTAACCTTTTTTATTTTATTTTATTTTATTTATTTATTTATTCATTTATTTTTATATTTATTTTTTCATTTTTATTTTATTTTATTTTATTTTATTTTATTTTTTAGTTTCTCACAACGAGCGGAAGTCCCGCCCTCCTGCATCCGGTCGAATTCACAACATCCAAAGATGTCTGCTGCCATAGCTTCCCTCGTTTCGTACGGTACCGATTCTGACTCAGACAATGAGTCCGAGCCCAAAACCAGTGCCGAGAAAGTGGACCCGGTGAGCCCGGACGCTACAGCTCACCTCAAACCTCTGCAGTCCGGACAAACATTGTCTTTGGCTCTCCTCAATTCTGCTCCCGAGGTCGCCGTTAAGGTGAGCTAACCCAGCTATCTATCGTTAGCTTCACAACTTAATCTGTTGTTTAAATACTACTTTTAATTCCACTGTGCTTATATGTATCGATGAGACTTAGGGTTTCAGTGGATAGCTGGTAAGGCGGATTAAGTGGTTATTTAAAGCTTAGCGTTTGCTATTGTTGTTAAAATAAAACTAGTATCGGAAAGCGGGAAACATTGAGTGCTTGGGGGATGTATCTTATTTACGCGAGTTTATGTTGTTAGTCTGCTGTTATGTGTCGCCTTGGGTGTTGTGTTCTTCCTTTTTTAATGCTGCGTTTGATACACCAGACAGCAATTTGGTATTATATCGCCTGTAAGTAAGTGGGCACGTTTGCTGCTTTGTCTTCCCTTTAGGAGTCTGTTGAAACTGGCACACACCTGGACCCTTCACTGAAAGAAGTCACGTACAACCCCACATATGAAACTATGTTTGCACCAGAGGTAAGTGTTGTGTTCTCTAGAGCTGGGTTTAATACATAGGATAATAGATCATGTGTAATATTATTAGTAATGTAACATCATGTTTTTACTGTTGAGGTATTTGTTTTGTGTCTATATGGACCAGTTCTAATTTAAATACTATCTACAAAATTAGGTGAATTACAATATTTGTTATTATTCGTCTCACATTCTTTAGTTGTATTTTTGTTCCTTACCTGCCTCTTCAAGTGTCCTAATGTCTTTCTGTTTCATGGTTTATGCTCGGCTGCTCTAATTCCCATTATGAGTAATCTAGTATCCCAATAATCTGTCGTCACTACTTTACCTAAATAAGACACGCTGATGTTATTAATATCATGCTTATGAAATATAAATTAAACAGAAGGGCCATGCAAAAAGAGTCCGTAAAAGTTTAATCTAATATTATTAATGATTTTATATCGCTTCCTCTTAGTTTGGGCCAATGAACCCATTTAAAAGCCAGCAGATGGCTGCCCCCAGGAACATGTTGTCTGGCTATGCAGAACCTGCGCACCTCAACGACTTCATGTTTGAACAGCAAAGGAGGACCTTCTCCACCTATGGTAAGCTTGTGTGTCACCTCTGTGGTGGGTTTAAATGATGTGTGCAATGTATTGACCCTGTTTGAATTTGAATGACCTTTTTTTTCCCTCTCTGTTCTGCTTGTAGGTTATGCTTTAGATCCATCTGTTGACACACACCAGGTGTGCACTAGTAGCTACATTGGTGCAGTGGATGAGGCTGAGAAAAACAAAGGTAATCATTTATCACACTCTTTTGTGTGTGTGTTTGTTGGCATATGACTGTATAAGCCAGACTTTATGTAGTACATCTTCTGTTGTATGAAGTGTCGTTTAAGGGAGAATCAAAATCATACGGACATGTGATTCTTCCTTCAGGGCTAACTGTGTTTGAGAGCGGACCTAAGAAGTCAGAGAAAAGGAAAAAGGTCAAAGGTGGAGAGGCAGAGGAGATCGACAGCTTCCTCGGACCGTGGGCGAAATATGCAGATGAGAGAGATGTGGCCAAGCCATCAGAGGTAATGCTTTGTTCAAAATTTTATATTAAAATAGAGTGTTTTAGATTGTCACTTCTCCACATAATTAACGGACTTCCTATTTAATGTTGTTAAGGCAAGAAAACACAGCAACCCTTAATCTATGGTTGATGTATTTTAGGTTTTTGGGCTGATTTAAAGCATCAAAATAAGTGCCTTTGTATTTATGCCTTTTTACAATAAAACATAATGTAAATAATTCACCCCTAAAAGCACACTTTTTATGCTGTCAGCATGTACGATAAAAAACATAATATGGGGTTTCATCCATTGATTCCATGAACATGCACAATTTTCAGCACAGCATAAAACCTGCAGCACTCAACTGTGACTTTCTGAGAGCCATCGTTGTCTGTATGTATTCTGTGTAAAAGCTTTAGAAGATGAGACACATAGTGGGGCACATGCTGCTTACCAGTGGCCGCCTGACCCCACCCACCCGCACGACCCCCTGCTCTCAGGGAAAACTAATCCCTTTTACACCGCATGCACACAAGAAAACTGCCTTCAGTTTGCTCCATCTGTCTATTTCAGCACTTTATCCGTGAACAAATCTGTTTGGTATTCATGGGGTTGTGATGAATCTTATCTTACAGGAAGAGCAGAAAGAGCTGGATGAGATCACAGCCAAGAGGCAGAAGAAGGGAAGGAACGAGGAAGAGGCTCCTGCTGAGGAGAAGACCATTCTCCATGGTACTGTGGCCCTCTCTTAATTTAAACATTTAAATTACACTCAGTGATTTATTACATTTTTTTGTATTGAGAGTGGAGTGAGTCTTTTGAGATTTAACCTTCATTCTTAAAGGACCTCTTGTCCATTTTTGCTTTAAAATTGAGATTGAGTTTGATTGAATCACTCATTTTTCCTCTGCAGATAAAGTTTTCCCAGTTGCCATGGAATTATAAAGTAAATTTATGTCCAGTTATGATACTGTGTTTAGACTCGTGTCTCTGGAACCACAGGTGTCCTTGTTGCTTTTAGGATTTAATTGCAAAAGAAACATAGGAGAATTTGCTATGGGCAAATTACCCTCCAGTCCATTTAAAAATCCAAATGCTGTAGGACTTTTTATATGACATTTTTGCTTATTTTTTTTTATCCCCAGTTAAAGAGATGTACGATTACCAGGGCAGGTCCTACCTCCACGTCCCACAGGATGTGGGCATCAACCTGCGCTCTGCAGATGCTCCAGACAAGTGTTACCTGCCTAAGAAACAGATTCATGTCTGGTCTGGACACACCAAGGTCAGTGGGAATGGTCATGGATCAATTGTGTGTTTTTGTGTACGTGAATTGTCCCATTATGTACCAGTTAAAAACGATCTAGCAGCTTTAGGTATTGTGTATGTAGGCTTTGCTAATAGTAAGTTCTGGTATTCTAGTGTTGTTTCAGAATAATTCTGAAATGCAAAATGGGAGCAGTGTCACATAGGTGTCTGTTTATACATAGCAAGAAAATTCCATTATGCAGTCCTTGTAATACTTTCTGAGGCATTCAGTAAAAACCTCCTGGGTACTTTCAAATAAAATGATAACACGGTCATATACGAGAACCGTGTCCCCGACATCCAGGATTATTCTTTCTCATTCAAAACACCGTCTTTATAATTCGAATACAAAGGCAAACACTGGGTTATTCCAAGAAAGATGTGATTCAAGCTTTAGATCTGCCAGTATGCTTCAGGGAGAGAGAAATCACTCAAGTTTTAAATTGGCTTCTATCTGCTTTATGCAGGAAGTTACAGCCTTCAGAGTCTAATTTGAAGTACAAAGAGGTTTGAAAAGATAATAAGCACATGGAAGTGCTGATGTCGAGATAATAGATGGAGGATGGCCCATATGGTGTCACCAAAGTTTTGTGACATTTTTTTGGACGAAGTTTGGTAACTTGAAAGTCATCATAATTTCTACAACTATTACAGAGGCAGCACGGCCTGCACACACTCTATCTGCCCTGGTTGCATTATAATTCAACTGATGTTTCCAATTATTTAATATCAGTAGCCTGACCTTGTCCAAATTCAGCCTCACTTAATCTCTCACAGCATACGCTAAATAAGAAGAATAAGGTTAGATACATATCATTTTCTCTGTGTATTTTCCAGGGTGTCAGCGGTATCCGACTGTTTCCCAGCTCTGGTCATCTACTGCTCTCCAGCTCCATGGACTGTAAGATTAAGGTAAACAATCATAGTACGATGCCATAAAAACATTGCACAAGCTTATGAATTAATCAATTTCATTTTCATTTGACTGTTTTTCTGCTGGTTTAATTTAATGAAGTATTGGGGCTCACTTGTAGTTTAATCTCCTTCTCTCCACAGCTGTGGGAGGTGTATGGCGAGAGGAGATGTGTACGCACATTTATTGGTAAGCCACCTTAAATCGTGATATGGTAAACTTTGATAAATGTAAATAAATCATGTTTTGAAAATGGTAACAAAATATTTGTAAACAACAATGGATCATCTGCAAACATGCTGACGTGAAATATGCTCGAGGTCTGATTTCATGCGACCTTCTGGGAAATGTACAGCAGTGACAGACTGTGAACTCAGCGTTATTGGAGCACTAATGACACGTCTGCTGACCGTTGAGAGAAAAAAATATTATTATTTTTTTGGAATAGATTGAGTCTGGGGG